TCCACAGTTATTGCACTGATTTTCCATTGTGGGGTGGCACTTTGAGGCCATGGTAGAAGTTTCTCTCTTCTTATGTGTCCCTTTAAATGTAGGTTTAGGGCGAAACGGTTTGTTGTGCTTGACTGCATGGACCTGGGCGTCTCGATTGATGTCTGTGAGTTGCTGCGAGGTTGCTTCCTGAGTTCTTGCAATGTCGATCGCCTTGTCCAATGACAGAGTTTCACCCAATTCCAGTAATTTGGACTGCGTGCGGGCTGATTTGCATCCAAAAATGAGCGTGTCAAGTATTTGTTCATCTGGTTGGGTATACTTGCACTCGCTGACCAGAGAACGAATTCTCTTCAAGAATTGATCTACAGTTTCCCCGTTACCTTGCGTAAGGGTCCTCAGCTTAAATCTGGCTAGTCTAAAATTGCTTTTAGGCTTAACAAATTCTTCAAATTTGTCAAAGTAGGTTTTTAATTCCTTAGATTCATCCCCAGTCAAGTTCCATGTGCTTACTAGGTCTCGTCCAGTCTCTCCAGCCCATATCTGGAGGTACGCAATCTTTTCAGTCTTAGATTTGTTACTTAGTGGACCATCAAAGTATAACTCGCACATCTGTTTGAACTTCTTGTACTCCTGAACTGCATCGGTAGCATGCCAGTTCATATGGCAGGTACTGGTAAAGCTCCCAGCTCCATGTGGAAAGACTTTTTTTTTATCAACTGGTTATCAGCGTTGGCTCACTGTATTGTTATAAAACACAGTCACGTACTTCTGACACCATGAAACAACTCCAAGAAGAACTTGACTACTACAACTAACTTTATTTCTAAGTGTGCTGAAATATATACAATGTGTGTCTGTGTATCAGAGGGATCACTGATGTTAAGCTTGTTTATACTACACTAGTGAGAGTGCTATTTAATGGATAATTGATGACAGAGGGTTGGGGTTACTATAAGCTTGACCGATAGTGTTAAGAACCATAACAGTCACAACAGGCAGCGCACAGGCATCAGAATGTAAGCATGAAATATTTTCTATATAGAGATTTATTTCTCAGCCCCTTTCCACCTCAACCACTATGGCCGCATTCACAACGTGTTGAGCCATGGCTCTACAAAGCCACGACCTAAATATGGAGGACGTACATGAAAGGAAAACTGCCTAATCTTTTAATTGTCTCTGCCTCTCACACGCCTCCCCATTAGTCGTCCCAATGGAGCAGAGATTTCATGACTGTACCCCGCAGGGACAACGCATGGGGAGGCGTGTGAGAGGCAGAGAGACTATTAAAAGATTAGGCGGTTTTCCTTTCATGTATGTCAGCCATATTCAGGTCGTGGCTTTGTAGAGCCATGGCTCAACTCAATGTGAATACGGCCTATGAGTTCACATCAACCCTTGTCAATTAGAACATATATAAAACTCTGTGCGATCTAAGTGGCCCTTTTACAAAATGATATTTACATAGCTACTAAATATAGTGGTGAGGATTAAAAGGGGATTAAAGAAAACAACAAAGTATAGCAATATCATTGTTGCACTGACCTGTGCTGAGGCTGCAAGGTTGTAGAGCTTGCTGGCGATGATGCGTTCATAAATTAGCTGCCCTCAGTATGATGATATTCTGGGAGACATACCTTCCATCTGCTGAAATCAGAGAACATATCATCAATAAAGAATATATGCAGACTAATACAGCAGTTACAAAATAGACACATCAAAGTGATCAAAATATGTATAAACACATACAGCAACAAAACAAAGATAGTGATCAGAATATATACAGACACATACAGTACACAAATGACATCAGAATATAAACGTAAAATTTAATGTTAAACATGGGAATTGGAATGTCTGTCAGAAATTTTTGCTCACGTCCAAGAAGTTCACATCAACCCTTTTAACTCAGAACATATAAAACTCTAAGTGACCCTTTTACTAAATGATAATTTCCCGGGTACTATATATAGTGATGATGGTCAGAAAGGGATTGACCAGAACACCAGTATAGCAATATTATTGTTGCACTGACCTGTGCTGAGGCTGCAAGGTTGTAGATCTTGCTGTTGATGATGAGTTTATAAATTAACTGTACTCAGTTGGATGATACTCCAGGAGACATACCTTCATCTCTGCTGAAATCAGAAAACAAATCATCAATAAACAACATATGCAGACTCATACAGTAGATACAACACAGATATAATACAGAGATCAGATTATATTTAAACATACATATAAGCAGAATATATAAAGTTACACTGCACACAATGCACTGCAAGGCATGAGAATATAAATATTAAACTTAATGTTCATATATAGGGATTGGAATGTCTGTTAGAAATTCTAGTTCACACTCCCGAGTTCATATTAACCCTTTTGACTTTGAACATACATAAGACTCTGTGAGATTTAAGTGAGGCTTTAAACAAATGATAATTTGCAGTAAATTTTGTTTATATACATATTTTTCTCACCCCAACCCCTGCGAGTTCACATAAACCACTGTCAATTTGAACACATATAAAACTGAGTGGGATTTTAGACTGGGTTCCCAAGCCTTGATCAATCCATCTGGATTGGTCTAACTCCCCACGGAGTCTCACTAGATTGCTATCATCTTAAGCGGCTTAATTGTCTGCAAGGAGTATTGAATCAGCTAGGGGGTTAAGATAATTACCCCCTTACGGCTTTACTAAGCTTGACAGACATTTAAGCCAGTTAAGTTGATAGCAATTAAGTCTGACTCCCAGGGAGATAGATCGATCCAAATATCTGTGGGATAGTCCCTAAGTGACCCTTGAAAAATGATAATTTCCCAGGAACTATATAAAATGGTGAGGATCAAAAGGGGATAGAAGAGAACAACAAAATATAGCAGTATCACTGTTGCAATAACCAGTGGTGAGGCTGCAATGTTGTAGATCTTGATATGATGATGAGTTTTGCTGTCCTCAGTGTGATGATAATCCAGAAAAGACACTTTCATCTCAGCTGAAAACAGAGAACATAAAAAAAAAGAATTGTTAACACCATGGAAGACTCCTGCATCATCACTTTTTATGTTTTTACCAAGCAACAGTAGACTTTTAACTTATAAAGGCTGTAAACGCTTTATAAACAGCTTTTATCCAAGTGCAGTGACGCATTTTAATTTGATCTCAAAACTAAATTCTTAATTTATTTATTGTATCATTTTACTCTGTATATTATCAAACCTGCTCCAAAAGGTAAATGATTTCCGATTTTTTAAAAAAACTGGCTAAATAAACTCTTATCTTATTATTATCTTAGGCCAAACTTTTTTATTTTTATGGATGACATCCTGCGTGCGCACCGATTTCGCCCGTTCTCCGAAAAAAAAAAAAAAAAATCCCCCCCAGCCCCCAAAGAAGTCGGTTGTTGCAAGCGTTGTTATTGAATTTGCCAGGAAATGAGCTTTCTGCGCATGTGTATTATCGCCACGTGGAAATAAGGCCGCTTTGCCGTCAAATTCATCTCTAGGATTACTTTCAAATTACACGACAATTAAAGTCATAAAGAGAACGGGTGCCGTCGTTTTGGATTGGTATGCCATTGATATTGGGCATGGAGATATCACCTTTTTGGCGGCTGCCAGCGATTATCGCCCGCAAAATTTCAGTGACATTCTGTACAAAGCAGCACATAGGCTACCAGGTTTTCTGTAGCAAAAAAAGGGTTGACAAGGGCATCGAGGTATTTGGTGGGCTGAAGGTCAGACAGACCACCTGACAGTTTGGCCGTGTGAGTCAAAGTAGACAAAATGGCATCGTCCGAAATTACCTTTAACAGATTTGGTAGTATTAAGCATATCTTTGCATCATTTTTTAAACATTTCTGTGAAGTGTTCAAAATGCTTTAATATTCTGAGAATACAAATAAAGACACACTGTTTTTTTGATATTTGTTTTATTGATTGCTATACCAACAAAATGCATGGAATAACCTTAATAGATTTTGTAATAAGAAGTATATCTATTCATGACTTTTTTTTTACATTTCTACAAAGTATTCACAATGCTTTAATATTTTGAGAGCATGGATAAAGACATATTGTTAGTTTGATACGTGTTTCTGTGGTAAAATTTGTGTTTCCAGCTGTGTACTGACAGCATTCCTTTACTTAAGCAGTACAGTAATTCTCCAATCTATACGAATGATTTAAATTAATTATTTTTGGAAGATAATCATTTTGTTCGTAAGGCTTGAAATTCAGTCTGCTAAAAATTGCCACGCGTTCGTATCCATTGAAATACGAATGGAATACGGCTGTACCGGAAGTTATCTCCACTTACCTACATTGCTAAGTGTAAGCATTACTTTCAGATTAATTCACTGTGATCAGCTTTTAGCACAAACAATTATTCTTATGATATTGGAATTAATTAAAACAAACTAAACAAAAGTCGGGAATTCAAGTTAAGAAACAATTTCTTCATACTAAAGAGGTACATTTCTCCCAAGACAAGACAACATCGTTTTTCCCTGTTATGTTTTACCTAGACAGGACAACATCGTTTTTCCCAACTTCTATCAAAAACAGACAAGAATATTTGCGTATCGAGTTGCATATTTTATTTATTGCATGTTTACTTTTAATATGATTTCACATATAGAAAATTTGCAATATTAATAATGTCACCCCCGCCCCATTAGGCCTACATAAATATCTTCCGCCAAAACAAAATACTTGAAACTCCTCACAGTATATATCACTGACGTAAATAGAGATTTTACTTGATATAAAAAATAACATAAGCTCAATTCACGTCTATTTATGAAAGTCTTTTGTAGCATATTAATTTGCACGCAATCAAGTAAACTTAATTAGAAAAAATACAGAAAACTGCAGGCAAATTTGTATAAAGTCATACGGCACCTTTACTTTTCACAATCACCAATATCAGTAAGGTTTACTTAATAGTTGTTCATGAGACAAGGTCTTTAACAGGAAAAACAAACAAAAAGCATGAACTTTATCACAACTCAAATTAGAAAAATAAATAGAATACAAGACAGAACTCCTCTTAAAAATTTAATTTCCTAATGACTACCAAAAACAAGTGAAAAACTCGACCATTGACTATGGATTTCTCATACTCTTCTGTTGTGCGTGGGTTTCACGTTAATAGATTTTACTGGAAGCCAGTTATCGGTGAAACACCGATGGTGGATGTTGATGATCCAGTCGGCCGGTAGAAGTTAAGAAATGATAATAAACAGTAAGTAATTTATGTGTACTGATGCTTTCAATAATTTCTAAATAACAATAGGGTTTAAAAACTGGCCTGCAGCTGCCGGCGGGCAGGTTGAGTCCTTCTATCGTCTCATTCAAAAACAGCACAAATACATGATAACAATCTCTCCTGTCAAGTGGCAGTTCCTGTTTTTTGGAACGGTGGTCTGAAAACTGGCTTTGACGAATCATGGGTCGAGTTTCAATTGGGCACACTTTCTTGCGTTCGGAAAATTTAAATTGTGCCCAAGGTGAGTTTAGTGATCGTTCGTACAGAACGGAGACAAAATACTCAGATTCAGAGAAAAAACGTTTCGTTCGTAATATTTGCGGCGTTCGTATAGATTGGAGAATTACCGTATTTTTTTTTTGGACTTTTTTTTTTTTTTTTTTTCGCCCTCTCGCACCAATTTTGGGGTACCCAGAGGATGTCATCCATAAATAAAAAAAGTGTGGCCTTAACAACAATAAAAATATGTGATAAGCTCTTCAGTGGACTGCATCCAATGAAAAATATTTTTTCAGACAATGTAATTGAGAAAGCTGAAACTTACATTGAAAAGACTGGGAAATTCATATTCATGGGAAATTTATATTCAAATTCAAGGCATAAAATAGTTAAATGTTATTAATTTTGGTAAACTTAGTCCAATATTTGTGCAATTTGTACAAATGATGCTTTTAAAACAACAATCAAAATCTGTCATATGCTTACCGATTGACTGTGTAATAAAAGTGTTGGTTATTGGCAATTTGTATGAGAAAAGTGAGAATTACCGAAAAAAAGTTTTTCAATTTTTCAAAATAATTCAGTCTCACATGAAACATCAAATGTTTCGATATAAGATTGTTTATGTGAGAAGTGGCAAATTACCCATAATTGTCATCTGGAAAACAATATCCATTCAAGACTTCTCCTAACTACCAATACCAGATGACAATGTCCTAAATCTTATCACATACCAGCTCTTGTACACATGGATGAGACATAGCATTGGTCTTGCTGCTGTGTTTCACTGCCTGCTTTTTCTTTAGGAACTAGCCAGGACCAGACAGGAAGTGTTGGTTCACCAAGAAGCCACCACACTGTATGGAAAAGGTCACCTGGAAAAAGAACAGTATATATGAAAACCATAAAAATTAAATTTTGAAAAGTGACAAATCTCCCAGACTAAAGTATTTAAACAGTAATGATATAGTTAAGCTTAACAGTTGACTGTGTCCCATGAAAAATATTTTTTGTAGGAAAATATATCTGAGAAAACTGAAAATTACAGCTTAAAATAGTTAAATGCTAATAATTTTGACAAATCTGATCCAATAATTATAAAATTTGTACAGATGATGTTTAACAACCATAAAAATATGTGATAAGCTCTTCAGTCGACTGCGTCCAAAGAAAAAGATTCTTTAACTACATGCAATAATTTGAACAAATACCAGCCCGGGAGCTACTGGTCTGCCGCTAGGTGGCTTTTAAACAAACCGGAAGTCTTACATTTTTGAACCAGCTAAAATTTTGGAGATTTATAGGGTGTCAAAAACGATGCATTATCTCGGCTATGAACGTACTCAGGGTCACATTATGTACATTGACATACTGAGAAATAAATTTCGAATAATGTGAGATGCACCACGCGTTGATCTAGAACCAATTTAGTGTTAAAAAATAGTTTGAAATCGAAAATTTACGAAAGCTATAACGGAAGTTCATCTTTAACTCTGATCTTAGTATCTATAGAGGCCTCCGCACAACTAGTTTTTCCTTCACACAGTATTACTTATATAGAGCAAATGAGTATTGGGGACAATGAAAATAATTTTTTTTGGCACTGAATTACCACGGTGCTAATTCAAATGTAAATAAACCTTTTTATTACATGAGGCCAACTGATGAGGGTATTCCTTTCTAACAAATGAAAGACAATTTACATTTAATCACATTGTTATATTTTCATTTTTACATTTCAACTACTCTGAAACATTTCAACTAGTCTGAAACATGGTATCACCAGATTGTTACACCCATAAGTTATTAAAACTGTGCATATATATACATGCCCACCTCTAGCCCTCCCAAATCTCTCCATTTCTTTTTCCCTTGTATAAACAAGCTTTAAATTTTGCATTCTGGGTAGATATGGGTGCGCATCTCATGTAATCTCTCCATTTCATCAGCTGATAAGTAGAATTCTCATCAAACTTCAACTTACAGGTAAGTTTCGTTTAATTTTTGAATTCTACCATCAGCTGACTCCCATTCCCAGATTACAATACATGAGGGTTTAAAGTTGTACCAATAAACACCAATTCCACAATTGAGGAGTAGTACAACAGTAGTACCCTGCTTGAAATGAATTGGAAAAAATCAATAAGCTGATAACTTATAAATTTAGTATATTAACTTTAATAATAACTTTTAACAAATGAACCTTTTTAACAACATGAACTGTTTAACTACATAATAAACTTGCTCCTTAACTGAGGGAGCCAACTTAAATATGAACACGTTAAACCTAATCTGAAAGTGTATGTACCAAACATTTATACAGTACTAAGAAAGTCCTTGCCTTAACAAAGTCTAGGCAACAATTACACATTTGCCATGTCATTATTTCTCTGCCCTGAAACCATTACTTTGTTTTATTCAAAATTTTTGAACCAAATAGTATCCAAACATATCCTTTTTGCTCCAACCTGCCTTATCTAAGATTGTCTGCAAAGGTACATTTGCTGCTTTTGCAGCCGAAGTAGCTGCAGCTCGCACACTGTGTGGTGTAAATACAAAAGTATCAATACCAGCCATTTTTAGGACACACTTCAGCCACCTCAACAAGGTATCCCTTGAGATTGGTTTGTGTGGTTTCATGTAGCTGATGAATAGTGCAGTGTACTTGTCTCTGAGTGGACATGTACGCTTTAAGTACTCCGTCAATGCTACACATATACTCAATCTGCGATCTGGAGCATATGCTGGCACTGTGATTTGTGTTTGATGATACCCTGGGCAAGAGGTTTTCAAAAGATCGCCAAAAGAAACTTTCACCCGATGCTTATTTAGATCAATGTTCCTTGTATCCATAAGATGAAGGGACTGCCCCCTCTGACTTGCCAAAAGTCCAAATAACATAACCACTTTCAGTGTCAACTGTTTTAGAGACAAATTCTTTACTGGTGACCATGCTCTCAAAAAATTCAAAACAACAGTGGCATCCCAAATAACCTTAGTTTTTGGAATAGGTGGTTTAAGATTGAATATACCTTTCATGAATCTGCAAATCAGCGGGTGTTCTCCCAAAGGTGAATCCCCGATGGTAAGAAAAGCTGATAAGGTGCTTCTGGCAGTGTTAAGTGCAGAATACCGCAAACCCCTCTCTGACAGCTCAGTGAGAAATTCTGCAGCAGATTTTACAGAGGCATGAAAGGTATTCCAATCCCTCCGGCTACAAAAGGAAAACCACTGTTTGAAGTAACAGTTATGCTGTTTTTTGGTGCCATCACGCCATGAGGCCTCGATAATCCGCTGAGCTGTCTCTGAAAGTTCTGCTGTGCCTGGCGTCTGCCAGAAACAAGTGCTGCTGCAAGCCTGATCTTGGGCATTCAAGAGAGGGTGATGAATGACCGATACTGACCTGTCCCTGTGAAAGAGAGAAACAGGAAAATCAATAAGCATTGAACCAAGCAAGGAATACCAGTGCTGAGTAGGCCATAAGGGAAAAATAATGATATCTGTCACACCTTCCACTTTCATTTTTTGTAAAACTTTGCCTATCATGCAAAAAGGTGGGAAGGCATAGACAAATTTATGGGCCCAAGAAACTGTAAATGGATCCACCTCCATACAATCTGGATCTGGTTTCCATGAGTAGTAAACTCTCACTTTATTGTTTATTCTAGATGCAAACAAATCAATCTCAGGCTTGCCCCAAAGTCTGCAGATTGTTAGAAAAATATTTATATCCAGCCCCCACTCACCATTGTCATGGTATGTTCTGCTCTCTGCATCTGCCTCGATGTTTTGAGCGCCTGGCAGGTAAGCTGCTGTAACAAAAAGAGACCTGTTAATGCACCATAGCCACAATTCTCTAGCTACCTCATTACAGTGATCTTTCTTGCCTCCCATATTGTTAATATAGACTATTGCAGTGGTGCTATCAATTCAAAGCGTCATGTGCTACTGCACTTTTCCCATCTTAAGCGGCTGAGGCTTTTTTGGCTTTAGCTTTAGCTTTTTCGGCATCGGGCTGAAACACAGTCTCCGCTAAATTATATTGCTTGTTGCTCATTTTATCGATGACAAAGAAAAAACTAATTCCATGTGACTCAGCCAGAAATTGGAGTCGAAGAACGAGGTTAACTTCCCGCGCACGAGAGCCTCAAAATTAAGAGCCACAGTTTGGGCATAAATTGCAAATGCTAACCGGATCAGTAAAGCAATGTCCTTCGCTGCAGAAAAGCACCATATAATAGGAAATTAATAGGAAAAAACGCGATTTTGCGTCAGCACTAATTGCATTCTGGGTAGATATGCGTGCGCATCTCATGTAATCTCGAAATGGGAGTCAGCTGATGGTAGAACTAACTTCATGTGGTTAAAACCTAAAATGATTTCACAATGTGCATTTCTATATACTGATAACCAATAACTATTAATATAAGCAACAGCACAGCTCAAAAATATATTTTTTCATCCCTTAGAAGTATCGCTGAGGTTGTGGTGTTTATTGCCACACAGCATTTGGAAATGATGGGTGCTTTTGTTATGATAATTGCAGGTCAAGGCACGGCAAAAGGAATAATCCTGGTCCCATTCATGCTATTCAAGCCTAGAAAAAATAATAGAGTTTTCAATAGAATATCATTTTAAAAAATCCTAAGTACATTTATCACGTGCTCACACATATACACACTGAAATTAATAATAATTAATTGCAATCTTTGTAATAGGTAAACTGTAACAATCAATCTTTATCTTAAACAGCACTATATTTATAATCAATCTTTACATTAAACTGCACTATTTATACTTAATTCATAACAGTAATTATAAACAAAAAATCTGAAACTGAACTTTGGGCAAAGTTGCACACCCATCATCAATTAAAAAACCAATTTGAATCAAGGCCTGAAAGTATTAGAAAAAACATGCAAGTCAGAGCACCACATATACTGTATATTGTGGTGTTTCCCACTATCATATGCCCTGTCATTGAAGATCCTGTTTCATTTAATGTACATACACACATACATATATTATTCATCTTTGTCAAACTGGCATTTTTATGACATTCTTCTCCTCAAAACCCCCAACCAATGCAATAAATCTTATTTTGGGTTTACATGTTTTTTTCCTAAAAAATTAACACAATACATGTCATTTGGACCCCCCCCCCCCCCAGCAAAAAAGTAAACATGTTTAAAGCCATAATTTAAAATTCATATCTTTTAAAACATGCCTATAGTAAGTTTACAATTCTGTATCTTCCACAACTACTGGCACCAATGCACCCCCCCTCCCCACTGCTTTGCAAACAATTAAGTACCGGTACACCACCATATGCACATACGTATACGTGTTTGCAGGTCGGATGACAATGTCATTTTGCAAACCACTTCATTTTTTTCTCACTAAAACACGAAGAAATTACACGAGAAGCCAAGATTCAAATATTTCACTTAAACGGTGACATTCATTCCATACATGAGACCAGAACGCCACTGCCATCACTCGATCAACTAAATGATAGGTACCCAGTACGGTGAATATACAGCTTGTTGAAATGTTGAAATTCTACAAATTACAGGCCATCGCACATCTTAAAATTTTTATATGTTCAAAAACAAATGCCAAACTATGAAAAAAACCCTTAAGCTACATTTGGCACAGTTCAAAAGACAATGTCTACAATGACGTTTTGTGTGCGGCCATTTTGCTATTTGCCAGTAACTTCAGAGAATACTCAGTGAAATCAATACACAAACACTCCTTCGGTGTATAAAATGTAACTTTAGCATATACTGCATTGTCCTGTCAAATCTATTAGTATTTAAAATCAACTGGTCATTGCACAAACATATGTACAACTTACCTGTCTCTATGCCTTCGTCTCCCGCCAAATTTTCTTAAAGCTACCGCTCCACGTTTTGAAAACGAGGCCAAATCTAATATTTTCTAAAATAACCGTCATATGAGCCGATGGATCCCAGGCTGTACCATGGACATTTTTTAAATAATGTGACTCTTAAAAAGAGAGAAGGATGGGGGGGGGGGGGGGAGCTCACCACTCTCTCAAACAATCAGAAGAGAATTATGAAATTCTCAAAAGATCACCCAACTATTATATTCTGTTCAAAGATAAATCGACAGGGCGTTAGCTGTCAGAAGTTTTTATCCAGGAGAGGTTTCCTGTACGGGGGAGATTCGTTCTGTATCCGGGAGACTCCCAGATTATCCGGGAGAGTCGACATGTATACAACAAGCCCATGTGAATAACTACCCGACGACCAAGTTTGATTTCGGAAAAACTTGGATGACTGAACACCGTTTTGTGTTGATGAGATCTATGATTTTATAGAAACAGAATGAAACGAAGACACGAATGTAGATAAGATTTGCTTTTTATCACAACCCCAAAGTCTTAGAGCACTTATCAGAAGGGAAGCAAATAGTCTTTATACTTACCCAATAAACTAAAATGCACTCCTCTTCGATTGTTTAACTTGCAAAACTGTATGTATTCCGCTCTTTCCCATCCCAAAGAATCTCCTCTGAATCATTGAATATATAAGGCGAGGTGCCAGTGGTGATTGAATGGGAGAAGATAAGATTTTCTTACGTCGTTAATATCCCTAGATATATTCCATAACGTGCGAAATGCTTGAAAATAGTATTCCGATCCAAACGAACAAGTCCCTCGGTGAAAAAAAAAAGACCCCCCGCAGTAAAAACGCAATCAACATATCTGTCACAACTAACACACCACATCGGAGGAGAATCGGGGCACATCAAACGCATCTCAGTACAACGCTTCGTTCAAGCTATTTCGGCCTAGATCTTTTGAATTTTAGAATATGAATTGATAATATTTTGGTTGAAAAGGATTTGGTTTTATGAGCGTTTTTTATTATTTAAAAGGAAAAGTTATTTTTACACTCCCTTTTTATTTCAATTTTCGCGGACGGTAGGCCTACCGGTAGGCCCTCCCTATATTGTTTCATGTCCATTGCCCGATATAGAATCAGGGGCGGATCCAGGATTATCTGAAGGGTGGAGGGGGGGGGGGGGGGGGGGTCCACCGCGGATGCGAGGGCCCCCTGACTTCTCGGCTTTTCTCAGGTGTAGCTGGATTTAGGCGGGCGCAACTGCTACGCCTAACTTACGACTAAGATCTAATAAACGGATATTAGATCTTAGCTTACGACCGGTTGGCCCAGGTGAGAAATAATTTAGAATATTCGTTCATCGAAGTAGGCATACGTCTTTTGGTTATCAGTTTATTTCGATTTCATATTATATTTACAACATAAAATAATAAATGTACATTTTTAAAAAGATTTGGCATTAAAGATAGCCATACATATTGTTACTCGTAGTGGTTTATTTGTGTTTAGATTATTTTCACCAAGAAGAAAATAAAGACCATCTATACCTTCTCTTTGAAATGATATACACATGCTGATATGTTAACCCCGACAACTTGATTTCTTTTTGCGTACACATGGAGAATTTTCTTTTATAAATGAGGTATTCTAAAGAATTTGCTAAAAGTTGAACACAGGATTTAGTCATTTGGCTGGGATGAAATTTATTTTATTCACTAAATTTTGTAACTCAAGATAATCTTCTAATGCATTACAAGCTGAATAATTTCTGTTAAACAATTTACAAACTATAGTCTCTTGTTAATGATTGGGTAAATTTGGATAAAGTCGTCACATGGAATAAAATGTGCTGTTTATTTCCAAACATCAAAAAAGTATTATTTATATTTTCATCAAAACTCCTTGGTTCTCTGTTGTGTTTTGTGGGTTTTGTACATTTGTACTTTTACAAAGCCATTACAACCAGATCACACCAGAAAGGAGCACACCTATTGCATCTTTGTAGGAGATTTGAAAATTGCTGTTTACCAGTCATATTGTTCAATAATGTACTTAAATCAAAATGCGATGAGTCTAATAATCTTAACTTATGTGAAAAAAAGAGAATCGTTTTCAGCATACATAGCACTGTAGCAAAATCTTAAATGATCGGATATCAATGCGGAAGAAGACAATGTCTTGCTGCACACATTAAAACAATATGACAAATCACCACAAGGCACTTTGTGGTCAAACTGCAAGAGCTTGTGAATATTTCCCATGGGCTAATTTCTTGTCACGGCTATAGAAGCCTTACTATAACGCTCTTTTCCATCCCTCTCTGTGAAAATTCTCCCGTTGCAGCATTTGTAAATAAAGTCACATGTGTGTACTTTACGTCATTAAAGACTTGGTGTTCTTTGATATGCAACTCATTGTTGACATACTCATAGTGCGTCAGCCAAAAATAGCAACAAAGATTTCATAAAAGGATAAATTACACATTTTATTACGTTTTACTTTTGTAATTAGCCACTTCGTAAAAATCTACTCATGTGGCATATCTACGCAGATTTAGAAAAAAAAAAAAAAAAAAAAAACCTAATATGAAAAGCCTCCTCTGAATGCAACAACTCTGAAATATTCGACTTGTGCAACTGAAGCTTAACAAATGAAATAATCTGAAATAAGCTTATCAGTTGACTATGCCTAATGAAAAAGATTTACCATTATATTTGAGAAAAATAAAAATTACACTGAAAAGAATAGCAAATTCAATGGATAAAAAAGTTAAATGTTAATAACTTTGACAAATTTAGTCTGTAAACTAGTACAAATAAAGCTTAACAACTAAACTAGTCTGAGAAAAGCTTATCAGGTGTAATATAATAATATTTTGGACAATATATTTGAGAAAACTGTAAATTACACTGAAAACACTAGCAAATTCCAAAAATAAAAATATAATCATTAATTTTTACAAATAAAACTTAATAACTGTAATAATCTGACATAAGCTTATTTGTTAACTGTGTTACATTAAAAATATTTTTCAGAACATATATTTGAGAAAATTGAAAATAACATTGAAAAGAAGCAAAATTCCATGGCTTAAATCATTTAAAAATTTATACATGTAATATCAGCAAATCTAGTCCAATGTTTGTGAAATTTCTACAAATGATGCTTAGCAACAATAAAAATCTGTAACAAGCTTATCTGTTGACTGTGTGTAATGAATCTATTTTTTTTAAAAAACTATATATATTTGAGAAAAGTGCAAATGAAATTAAAAAACTGGCATGTCCTATATAAAAATATTTAAATGTTAATAACTTTCTGAAATTTGCACAACTGAAGCTTATAATTCAAAAATTAAACCAACTTACCCATAAGTTGATGTTTGATTGTAATTCTTTGAGACAATTATAGGTGAGGAGATGAAATGAGAATGCATGGTGCACATGCGCTTCAGGTTTTGAAGCATTTTTGCATGATTTCTTCAGAAGTTTATTATCAAACTTCATTTTCCTATAATAATCTGCATCATGATTATCATAAATTATGTTATTAGGTAGGCATTTCATCTCCTCACCTATAATTGTCTCATAGAATTACAATCAAACATCAACTTACAGGTAAGTTTCGTTTAATTTTTTAATTCTATATCAAACAATTATATTGGTTCGTCATGAAATGAGACTTCAAATCACAAATCATGCAAAAATAAAACATGAATTCAACAAGAAAACTATAATGGTTATCAAACACATGTGGTTTATAAATGAACTGACTTAAGAACTTTGCTTATCCAAATTAAGTACAGCTTTCAGTACTGTTTCAAGTCTGAATCCTGGCAGCATTTACTAATGCAATAAGCATTGTAAGTTTCAAAGTCAAGTCTTTCAGACTAATATTACGTACAGGTGACAATTTGTGAAAGTACCATAAAACTTGATCAAAATCCCAAACATACATATATCCACTTGAAGGTGGGGGTAGATTAAATACACCTTTCATATAAAGGACAACTTGTGATTGAGATCCTACTGTATTCTGTTTCAATAAATCCCCACAGGGCACTCCTGGCTGTATTCAAGGAACTATATCCTAAGCCATTGTTCTACAGATCAGTCAAAAAACTCAATAACATCATTCACAGAAACATAAAATGAATTAATACTCCGTTTGCAACAGAACTGAAACCATTTTGATAAATGTATCTTGTACTGACATTTAGTTTAGCTCTCCATGATGCCATAAAAATGTTGATTGACTTTTCTGAAAAACCACCGTCTCTAAAGGACTTCCTGACAACTTGCATGCAATTAAAGTCATTTGATTGGATAGAGGATGAACTTTTTCTGAAAACTGCAGCATCAGAGTTTCTTCCACCAGTGGTAAAATCAAAGGAGCTTTCACTGGCATTTGCATCAACATTAGCCACCATATTTATGTTGTCCACAGTGGTACCACCATAACAGGTCTTGCTTTGTCTGTTTTTATTTTCTGCAGACACCTTGTTATAAGGCTGAAAGGAGAAAAAACATAACAAAGTTCAAAATTTTTTCCAATTTAAACTGAATGCATCAATAAATGTGACATCAGGATCTGGTATCCAAGAGCAACTTTCTACTTTCTTGTTTATTCTTGTTGCAAATAAGTCAACTGTAGGCTGACCGTAATGTTCACATATACCAGGTATCCAGAATGAAGCAGATAAGCGTTCACAGAGATTTAAGGATAACATTGAGTGGGAAGTACAAAATGTTATATTCACCAAGATAGTTCTATACATCAATTCCAAATTTGTTTGCGGAGTTCATCAGAACTTGTAGATTTAATCCCCCTAAAATTATTTATGTATGCAACTACAGTAGAGGAATCAGTTAATACCTTTATATATTTTCCCTCTATCTGTGACAAAAAGGACTTCAGAGCAAACAAAACAGCACGTAATTCTAGGGCATTTATGTGGCTTTTTGACTCAGTTTTAGTCCATCTGCCACCTATTTTAATGTCATTCATGACTGCACCCCAGCCAAGCTTACTGCTGTCAGTCTGTATAATAAGCTTGGGATTTTCTTTATGAATAACTCATATCCGTGTTTCAATATTTTCTATCCACCACTGAAGTTCCAACTTCATATAAATTGTAATATGCATCTTAGCATCAAAATTGCATTTATTTAGTTTCAATGCATTTATTTTTGCCTTTTCCAGTACTCTGTAATGAAGTTTTCCTAACTTAACTGCTGAAAAAAAGTCAACTAAAAGTCCAATAACTTTAGCCACTTATCTGATTGTTTCAAATTGACAAAAATGCAATTTTACACATGCATCCTGTATTTTATTTTTTCTTTCTTTGGGTAAATATACCAACATCTTTTCAGAGTCAATTATATTCCCCAAGTAAGTAATCTTCCTCGATGGCAAGAGCATACTTTTTTCAAAATTTATCATAAATCCTAGCCTGGATAGCAGACTGATAGTGGCATGTGCATTTCTCATACAAAGTTCACTAGTCTCAGCACCTAACAGAGTATCATCAATGTATGAGGTGCTAATGTAACCTTCATTACGTAACCTAGCATACACAGGTTTCATTAACTTGGTAAAAAGGCGCTGACCTGGGCCAACCCCATTTGGCATCTCCCTGTACTGATATATTTGTCCTTTCCATTTAAAACAAAAATATATGTGTTGTTCCACTGCCAGAGGTATTGAATAATATGCCATACGTATATTTACAGAGCAAAAATACATATTTTGTAAAACAATATGCAGTGCATTTTCAAAATTTTCCATCTTGAAATGATGATATTGAAGAAACTTATTTAATTTGCTGGGAAAAGGTTCACTCTGGGTAAAATTCGATCTATGTACTTGGGGATTTTATGGTCCGCTTTTTCAGAAAACAAACCCCCCCTCTGAAACTGATGGCTATGGGCCTGTATGCTTATATTTAAATATATCCTGTAATGTATGGAATTAGGCTAGCGACGTGATTAGAACCTCAACCTGAGATATCACTGATAAAACCACCACGACAAACACTGAAAAGCGGAGTACAAAAATTAACTTGCTTTAATATCTATTACAACAAACTGTTACAAAGACTGAGTTGTAAAATGGTTAATGAACTTCTTTGTCTTAAAAACAATTCATTTCTAAATTAAAGTAAACATCAGCGTATAACACATCTGCTGGGTTGTAGCAGGTGATCTGTTGAAACTGCAGTGGACAAAACTGTAGTGTTTCATTTTTTTTTTTAACAGCGTTTATTCAAAAGAAAGAAATGGAGGCAAGGCGCTGGAAGCATTATATGCTCTCCATAAAATTCATTACTGTTTCATTACTAAATATGTGTGAATCATATGTCATAAAAACACTATAATAGAGTTTATTTTGTTATGGTCTGTGACATTTGTTCATTTATATCACAGGGCGAAGGTAACACATACCTGCCAATAATATTTTTTCATGAAAAATTCCCTTTTTTTAATTTTGGCCCATTTCACCTCAAAGGTCAAATCCAAGGGCATATTTGAAATCTCCCCATATGATTTTAGGTCAGCCATCTATAGAATTTTTTCCAATAATTCCTTCTGTATTGTAGATAATTAGCATTTAATTTTGCCAATTTTGGACAAGGGTTCATTGCGATGAGCGCCACACCTAGACCCCATCATCGACTATGCCCAATTTTTATGTGGATGGAGTTGAGATTATAAGTGACCTAAATCCAAGAGATGGGTATGCAGGTCCTTGTAGTCTAGGAGGAGAAGAAGTAACGGTAACATGGTGGTGGGGCCGGCGGAACGGGACTAAAACCATGTGTACTGCCACCGCCTATGCTGGTGGTACAAATATATGCAGACATTCATTAGTTACAACACAGACATATCATGGTGATCAAAATAAATATAAACATAAAGCGACAAAACAAAGATAGCAATCAGAATATATACAGACACCAACAGTGTCACAACAAGCAGTGCACACGCATCAGAATATACCGATTTTTTCTCAGCATCATCCCACCCCAACCCCTACGAATTCATATCAACCCTTGTCAATTTAAACATATATAAAACTGATTGAGTTCTACCGTGGGATCCAAGACTGGGTTCCCATGCCTAGATCGATCCATCTGGATCAGTCTAACTCCAAAGGGAGTCTCATTAGATTGCTATCAACTTATCCGGCTAAACTGATAGTCATGCCTATCAAATTACCTAGGAGGTAAAGAAAACTAGAGGATCAGAGAGGCGATACCACCTCTGGATATTATACCACTAGCTGGAGTAAGCACATTTGTATGGAAAACATCAATAAAGAATATAGGCAGACACATAAAGTAGTTACAACACACATATCACAGCAATCAATATAAATATAAAAACATACAGTGACAAAACAAACATGATCAGAATATATACAGACACATACAGCATCACAAAAGACAATGCATCATGAGGCATCAGAATATAAACATACAAGTTGATGTTTAAATAAGGATTAGAATGACTATCATAAATATCTGCTCTCCCCCAAGAGTTCACATTGACTCTTTTCACTCAGTGGGATCTAAGGGACCCTATTATGATTTTCAGGAAATTTTGTCTTTATATACAGATTTTTTCTCAGTTCCTTCCCACCCCAACCCCTACAAGTTCATATCAACCCTTATCAATTTGAACATATATAAAACTGAGTGGGATCTAAGACTGGTTTCTCAAGCCTTGATCAATCCATCTGGATTGGTCTAAATCCCCAGGGAGTCTTACTAGATTGCTATCATCTTAATTGGCTTAATTGTCTGTCACGCCTATCGAATCAGCTAGGGGGTAAAGACAATTGCCCACATACAGCTTTAATAAGCGCGACAGACATTTAAGCCGGTCCAGTTGATAGCAAATTTGTCAGACATCCCAGGGAGATAGATCGATCCAAATATCTGTTGGAATGGTCCCTGTGTGATCATTTTACAAAATGACAATTCCCCAGGAACTATATAAAGTGGTGAGGGTCAAAAGTGGATTGAAGAGAACAACAAAGTATTGCAATATCATTGTTGCACTGACCTGTGGTGGGGCTGCAAAGTTGTAGATCTTGATGTGATGATAAATTTAACTGTTCTCAGTATGATGATATTCAAGGAGAAAAACCTTCTTGCTGGTGATGATGAGTTTACAAAATTAGCTGTCCTCAGTGTAATGATAATCCAGGAGACATACCTTCATCTCTGCTAAAATAAGAGAACATATTATCAATAAAGAATATATGCAGATATTCTTTAATTACAACACAGACATTACAGTGATCAAAACAAATATCAACACAAAGCTACAAAACAAACATAGATAGTGATCAGAATATATACAGACACAAACAGTGTCACAACAGGCAGTGCACAGGCATCAGAATGTATGCAGAAAATTCCATCTATATACAGATTATTTCTCAGTGCCATCCCTCCCCCAAACGCTACAAGTTCATATAAACCCTTGTCAATTAACCCTTTTCATCTTTTGCGGAAATAAGAAGTGCGCTTGACAGGAACTGCCCGCCACAGAGGTCACTGTAGTCCTCTGCTGTTTCTAGCATGACAATGCTAGGTGTAGATGATGTACAAGGTGCACATATAAAAAGGCCGTTTGAAGCGTGCACTGCTTTGTGTCAAACTAAAAAGGTGGCTGAAGCACAGAAATGCGTCAACTGTAGGCAAAACAGCTATTTGGTTGGAGAATCAAGCAATTAAATGTTTTATTTTTCAGTTTAAATACATTGCGCTGTACAACTAGACCTTACCTAAGCGTCCTAGCCAATAGTGATGACGAACTATAAAGCTTCAGAGTTCTTTTTAATGCTTCCGATAATAAAGATGTGCGAAAAAGACGTTATTTTTTTATAACATAAAAATAGCCAGTAGACTGGTACACAGCTTTCTAGAGTGTGGACAGGTGCGTAGGCCTACATCTTCACAATAGTACATGTATATATGCAAGCTGTGGCGATATCACCTCATTTACCGGCAGTATCAATTCATTAAGATTTTTGTCTTGTTTGACGGATGTCTTAAGAGATTTTTGAAATAATAAAATGAAAAGATTCCCTGCATTGCTTGACTTGTACCAACTGTGTATACTGGTAAAACTGACACACAGATTGTTTGTCGGTGAACTGATTAAATCATTTGGTACCTGATAAGGCATCAGGTGTTACTTGTTTAATTGTTCGGTAAGGGGGGGCGGCCAAAACTACGACCTTTCCTCTGTAATTAAAACTTTCTAATTTTAAGTGTTAAATAGGTGAGACAGGAATTCTCAACTCCTTTCCAGACAATAATTACAGTTTACCGTGTCTTACACTAGCATATATACAAAATTTACGACAGGTAAAAATGTCAGCCTTTCGGTTTGACAAGTATGAAAATTTTGTCAAACTGAAACAAAACCGTCAGACCAAAACAAAATTATAGCAAGAGGCCAAATTATTTGATTTTTAAATGTTTTCATGCATATTTTCATCGTTTTTAATCATAGACAATAAAATCATTCAAATAAAGTGTTTTCCACACATTTCATACTTTACAACGTATCTAAGACAGTTAAAAATACGTAGGCCTAAGTACTAAGCATATTTGTATTACTTTACAAATACGTTGTAAGATTATTTTTATTACGTATCCATTTTGTCTTTACCATACATGTATTATGCATGTGTAGCTTACAGAAAGGCTTTTCTGCATTTTTGGTAATTAACAATATATGTCCATTGAATTTTCCAATTCTCTTGTCATTGAGTTAAAAAATAAATAACTTTTTATTTTGCCGGGAACATGTTCAACAAAGGCCGATGTACTTTCTTCTTTGTCTCTGTTGATCTTGATAATATGAGCCCCATTTGTACAAATCAGTAATACGGGACTGGATACATAATAATAATAATAATAATAATAATAATAATAATAATAATTTTATTAACGTCTCACATTAAAAAAATAGAACCCACCCTACTAAGGGTTATGAGAGACTAAAACAGCTTTTAGTTTCTTTTTCCATAATCTCATGCTTTAAGTCTTTTCTTTCTTTTTAGGCCCCTATTCTTCAATTTTTTCTTCAGATCCTTATGTTTTTTTCTCGCATTGTTTACCCCCAAGTTCTATTTTCGATAGTTCTTTATATCTGTTGATTAACCAAGCATTTCTGTTTTTTATTAAAGCACCTATGATCACCTAATACACATGAATTATAGTTTTTCTTCCTGCTTCGAAACGAGGTGCCCTGCTTTTGATCCAAACCTGCTATATTTTCATTTCTTTCTACCATATTTTTCATTTTAATGGGTTTGTTCAGAACTTATTAAACCTCATGTGTCCATCTCGCTTACTATTACTGTAGCAGCAGGAAAAAAAGCACGTAAACCCAGCCATGGTTTTTAGCAGCGCTGTAAGTGTTTCGATATAGCAAGGACTCACTTTCCCACAATGTATTTTTCATTTCCGGAAAAGATGAAAAAGGTTAATTTGAAGATATATAAAACTGAATGTGACCTAAGACTGGGTTCCCATGCCTAGATCGATCCATCTGGATCAGTCTAACTCCCTAGGGAGTATCATTAAATTGCAATCAACTTAAGCGGCTAGATTGATAGTCACGTCTATCAAATAAGCTAGGGGGTTAAAGATAATTACCACCTAACAGCTTTACTAGATGTGACAGACATTTAAGCTGGTTAAGTTGATAGCAATTTAGTCAGACTCCCCAGGGAGATAGATTGATCCAAATATCAGTTGGAATGGTCCCGAAGTGACCTTTCTACAAATTTTAAAGGAACTATAAAAAGTATAGCAATATCATTGTTGCACTGACCTCTGCTGAGACTGCAAGATTGTACATCTTGATGTGATGACGAGTTTAGCTGTCTTCAGTATGATGATAATCAGAGATACACCTTCATCTCTGTTGAAATCAGAGAACACATCATCAATAAAGAATATATGCAGACATATACAGCAGTTACAACATAGATGCACCACAGTGATCAAAATATATATGAACACATACAGCGACAAAACAAACATGTATACTGATCAGAATATATAGAGACATACAGAGACTTTTTTCTCAGCCCCATCCCACCTCAACAACTACAAGTTCACATCAACCCTTGTCAATTAGAACATATATAAAACTCTGTGCGATCTAAGTGGCCCTTTTACAAAATCATAATTACACAGCTACTAAATACAGTGGTGAGGGTTAAAAGGGGATTAAAGAAAACAACAAAGTATAGCAATATTATTGTTGCACTAACCTGTGCTGAGGCTGCGACGTTGTAGATCTTGCTGGCAATGATGAGTTCATAAATTAGCTGTCCTCAGTATGATGATAATCAGAGATACACCTTCATCTCTGCTGAAATCAGAGAACAAATCATCAATAAAGAATATATGCAGACATTCATTAGTTACAACAAAAACATATTGCGGCAATTAAAATGAAAAAAAACATAAAGCAACAAAACAAACAAAGATAGCAATCAGAATATGCACAGACACCAACAGTGTCACAACAAGCAGTGCACATGCATCAGAATATACCGATTTGAACATATATAAAAATTATTGAGCTCTAAGTGGCTCTTTTACAAAATGATAATTACAGCTGTGTCACAGCTACTAAATATAGAGGTAATGGTCAAAAACAGATTGATGAAAACACCAGTATAGCAATGTTATCGTTGCACTGACCTGTACTAAGGTTGCGATGTTGTAGATCTTGCTAGTGATGATGAGAAATTACCTGTCCTCAGTGTGATGATAATCCAGGAGACATACCTTCATCTCCCCTGAAATCAGAGAACCCATGGTCAGTAAAGAATATATGCAGACACATTCAGTAGTTACAGCACAGATATAACACAATGATGAAAAAAATATATACACATAAAGTTACAAAACAAACATAGATAGTGATCAGAATATATACAGATACAAAGTATCACAACAGGAAGCACATAGGCATCAGAATGTATGCAGGATATTTCATCTATATACATAATTTTCTCATCACAACCCTACCCTAAACCCTAAAAGTTCATATCAACCCTTGTGAATTTGAAGACATGTAAAACTGAGTGAGATCTAAGACTGGGTTTCCAAGCCTAGATCGATCCATCTGGATTGGTCTAACTCCCTAGGAAACTAGCTAGGGGGTAAAGATAATTACCACCTAACAGCTTTACCATGTGTGACAGACATTTAAGCCAGTTAAGTTGATAGCAATTTAGTCAGACTCCCTAGGGAGATAGATCGATCCCAATATCTGTTGGAATGGTCCATCAGTGACCTTATTACAAAATGAAAATTTTCAAGAAACTATAAAAACTGGTCAGGGTCAAAAAGGATAAAGAGAAGAACAAAGTTTAGCAATATCATTGTTGTACTGACCTGTGCTGAAGCTGTGGCATTGTACATCTTGATGTGATGACGAGTTTAGCTGTCCTCAGAATGATGATAATCAGAGACACACCTTCATCTCTGCAGAAATCAGAAAATACATCATCAATAAAGAATATATGCAGACATATACAGCAGTTACAACATAGATGCATCACAGTGATCAAAATATATATAAACACATACAGTGACAAAACAAACATGCATAGTGATCAGAATACATAGAGACACATAAATTTAAGCGTCACAACAGGCAGCGCACAGGCATCAGAACGTAAGCATGAAATATTTTCTATATAGAGATTTATTTCTCAGCCCCTTCCCACTTCAACCACTATGGCTGCATTCACAACGAGTTGAGCCATGGCTCTACAAAGCCACAACCTAAATATGGAGGACGTACATGAAAGGAAAACCGCCTAATCTTTTAATTGTCTCCGCCTCTCACACACTTCCCCATTAGTCGTCCCAATGGAGCAGAGATTTCATGACTGTACCCTGCAGGGACAACGCATAGGGAGGCGTGTGAGAGGCGGAGAGACTATTAAAAGATTAGGCGGTTTTCCTTTCATGTACGTCCCCCATATTCAGGTTGTGGCTTTATACAGTTTTGTGCAGAGAAGATGCCATTACGGATATGCTTACTTCAAAAACGATTAACTTGTCTTACGTACGCCCCTTAAGAGGACAAAAGAATTGTGTGAAAATCCGTAGGCTAAAGGACAATGCCGACTTACGTATATCTTACTCACATCTTACGTACATCTTACACACATGCAGCGATGAGTAAGAAGGGGTGGGCTTACGCAAATAGGGTGACGGCAGGGTGTTTCTCGCCTTTCGGCAACACACAATCATGTGTGAAAACAGGCGTGATATATGATCTCGCTTAATTGTGGGTTATTAAATCGTCCTGTGTTACGCTGCGACGCGACCCTTTGCTCTGGTTAGAATGGGATGTTTAAGAGTTATTCACATTGATTTACTGATTTCTTGTAAATGATACCTTTGTCAACGAGTTGNAAGTAAAGCTAAGTAAAGCCTGTTTCTACTTCCGGTGTTCATCCCAGCTATCATGTATAAAACTGCATGAAGGATAACAAGACTCCGTAGCGAATTAAGTTTCACAATGCCCTGTGCTTCAGGTTTCCAGAAGTCCCGTGTAACACGATAATATCGAAGAGTATGGCCTGAGAGTAATTCAAATATGAGGCCGTGTATGAAAGATTTTAAAAATTAGAAATTCAAGAATTTAAACATTTCACAAAAATCGCATCTAATTGTTTAGATTGACCTCTACTTTTATCGATCTCATCGCCTTGTCTCAACCACCTAAAAGAAATATAGTGCACATGAGGAAAAGTAACACGTTTACATGCAGGCGAAGGAGGCATACTTCAATATTAATCGCGAACAATATCAACAGCGACTAAAGACTGTTGCCTAGTCTTGTCTTTCACACTTTTACACAAACACATGAAGGTTTAATAAAGGGAGTCGCGGCGCAATATCTATCTCTTTCTTTCGAACAAGCAAGGGGCTGACCCGAAGTAAGCTTTCTAAACTTATTTCCTTTTTATTGTATATTGTAATTATTCCGCTTGCTCGCCTCCATTGTCTTGTAAAAGCGACAAAGAATGTGTTGTATTCATACACAAATTGAAAGAACTTCGCATAACTCCTTTGCCTTGTTGCATAATGTCTTTCTCAAGGTTATAATCAGTGTGAAGAGGGTGTCTTGCCTCATTTAAAAAGGGAGTTGTTCTTCATACTGGTTGTTGCTTAACTTATGCTAACCTACTCTGTACAAATATGGTTTCAATAAATCGCCAAAATTATGACATTAATGAACATTGTGTATCAAACGTTAAATGATCGCTATCTCTGCTCCTTTTCCTTTGACAGCAACGTAAAAAGTGTTTAGGGAGAAAGTCACACAGAGACCCGACGTTGTTTTGTCTTTAGCATTTCCTCTTCCTTGTTTACTGCAATTACTGTCGTCAATTAATGAAATCGAGAAAGCAATTAAGTGACGGCACATTGAATATAGTTACTAGGTGCATTTCGCTGAGTGTTTACACGATCTAGAGATACATTTTAATGGCCACGCTGTAGTGTTCACAAATATAATTCCCAGACATGTAAATCAATTTGATTAGAGTCGATTGCTTGTGCACTCGACTCGTTTTATGGCCTTACCTGAAGTCATGTAACTTAAGTGGACGTGTGCAATTTGAATAATTAAAATTAGTATGTACCGCCAAATACTGCAGCACAGAATCCACCTAAAGATAAGAAATAGGTATAAAAGACGTATAGAATTAATATCGGGGGACAGACTGAAGAAGACTCGAAGGTGACCGCTCGACGGAGCTATGGGAGACGGCCTAGAGCTTGGAGGCTTCACGTAGAACATGTAGTTAGGGGTCTAACTGTGGGTTTTCCTGTTGTCTGGGATGATAGGTGGTGTTTTTCCTCTTCATATTAGCCCTGATTGACTTTGTTTATTATCAATATTATTATTGTGGCGAGCTTGTGATTGGAATTGTTTCCCTAGAATTAATGCTTATACGGTATATGCATATTAAAAAAAAAAGAAGTAATGGCAGATGTATGTTGAACGTAGATACAACCGAAGGGAGGTTTAAGTATGAGAAAAAAAAACAAAAAGACGATGAAACTTTATTATAACGAAGAAAGTTTATTCTCCCTTGTGTCTTGTTTCAGGTGACAGTGAATGGTCCCTGGATCGCCGTGCCTGTGTCATCGCCTCCGACCCACCGCCTGCCGCGTATCCAAGGCTGAGGGTTTCCAGCGCTTCGATCCATTAGACCTATCCGTCCTGCGTCCTGGAACCCAAGTAACTATACAGCCGAGAGGGGTGGACCCCGCTGTTTTGCCGATGATGCCATTGAAAGACTAAACACTAAAAGACTCAAATGAATTTTAAAGACTTTAAAATATAAGGCGCTCATTTGCCCAGTTTCCAGAGCTATTTTTCCCTAAATTGATAAAGAAAGATATGAATTAAAGGGTTTTATCTCTGGTTTTCCTCCGGGCCTGTCTGTAACGTGTTCTTTTATTAACGTGCTTCGCTTTGTGTATATGTTGTAAATATAATGTAGAGTGAATGTCTCCAACGTGATAAATGAAAAAAAAAAATGTATTTTTTTTTTCTGGTAAAAAGGGAAGGCTTGTAGTGTTCACAAATATAATTCCCAGACATGTAAATCAATTTGATTAGAGTCGATTGCTTGTGCACTCGACTCGTTTTATGGCCTTACCTGAAGTCATGTAACTTAAGTGGACGTGTGCAATTTGAATAATTAAAATTAGTATGTACCGCCAAATACTGCAGCACAGAATCCACCTAAAGATAAGAAATAGGTATAAAAGACGTATAGAATTAATATCGGGGGACAGACTGAAGAAGACTCGAAGGTGACCGCTCGACGGAGCTATGGGAGACGGCCTAGAGCTTGGAGGCTTCACGTAGAACATGTAGTTAGGGATCATCAACTAATAAACCATTAAACTGGTCATTATGTGGACTTGGGTTTTCTTAGCGCGACATTACGTAAATCTGACACGAACCGTGGAATTTTGAATAGCGTTATCCACTGAGTAAGTCTAAAACGTAATGTCCTATTTCGAGCCCACGCTTGAATTAAGCGTTCTAAATTATATAAGTTTAGGACATTCATCTCATACCTATATGT